CGCAGGGCTGTCTCGGCTACTCTTTCAGTCTTAAAGTGAAGTGGAGCTATATTTCGTCCCAAATGCTCGAAAGTGAGCGTTGAAAACGTTTTGCTGCGCCCATTTCACTGCACACCAAGGCCATCAAAAGTTAGTTTAGAGGCCCTGAGACTGGAAATTTTCCCCCAAGTTCCTGGAAATCGAGCCGAAGTGGGTCAAAATCACGATGCGCCTAATGCGGTCTCGGCTACTCTTTTAGTCTTAAAGTAAAGTGGGGCTCCATTTCGGCCCAGAAGCTCGAAAGTGAGCGTTCAAAAAGTTTTGCTGTGTCCATTTAACTGCAAACCAAGCAAAACCAGGAGTTAGGTTAGAGTCCCCGCGACTGGAAAATATCCCCCAAGTTCCGGGAAATCGAGTCGAAGTTGGTCAAAATCACGATGCGCCTAAGGCGGTCTCGGCTACTCTTTCGGTCTTAAAGTTAAGTGGGGCTATATTTCGGCCCAGAAGCTCGAAACTCAGCGTTCAAAAAGCATTGCTATTTCCATTTCACTGCAAACCAAAGCAATCAGGAGTTAGTTTACAGTCTCCGGCACTGGAAAATATCTCCCAAGTTCCGCCAAATCGAGCCGAAAATGGTCAAAATCACGATGCGCGTAAGGCGGTGTCGGCTACTCTTTCAGTCCTAAAGTGAAGTTGGGCTGTCTTTCGGCCCAGAAGCTCGAAAGTAAGCGTTCAATAAGTTTTGCTGTGTCCATTTCACTGCAAACCAAGGCAGTCAGGAGTTAGTTTAGAGTCCCCGGAACTGGAAAATATCCCCCAAGTTCCGGGAAATCGAGCCGAAGTGGGTCAAAATCACGATGCGCGCAAGGTCGTCTCGGCTACTCTTTTAGTCTTAAAGTGAAGTGGGGCTATATTTCGGCCCAGAAGCATGGAAGTGAGTATTCAAAAAGTTTTGCTGTGTCCATTTCGCTGCAAAGCAAGCCCATCAGGAGTTAGTTTAGAGTCCCCGGAACTGGAAAATATACCCCAAGTTCCGGAAAATCGAGCCGAAGTTGGTCAAAATCACGATGCGCGTAAGGCAGTCTCGGCTACTCTTTTAGTCTTAAAGTGAAGTGGGGCTATATTTTAGCCCAGAAGCTCAAAAGTGAGCGTTCAAAAAGTTTTCCTGTGTCCATTTCACTACAAACCAAGGCATCAGGAGTTAGTTTAGAGTCTCCGGGACTGGAAAATATCCCCCAAGTTCCGGGAAATCGAGCCAAAGTTGCTCAAAATCACGATGCGCCCAAGGTCGTCTTGGCTACTCTTTCAGTCCTAAAGTGAAGTTGGGCTATATTTCGGCCCAGAAGCTCGAAAGTGAGCGTTCAAAAAGTTTTCCTGTGTCCATTTCACTTCAAACCAAGGCTATCAAGAGTTAGTTTAGAGGCCCCGGGACTGGAAAATATCCCCCAAGTTCCGGGAAATCGAGCCGAAGTTGGTCAAAATCACGATGCGCGTAAGGCGGTCTCG